GATCTTTTCAGTAGTCCACAGAATCCATCCTCATGGTTGTAACAACCTGGGACCGCAGGTCAGAATTCTTCTGAGAAATTTCAAAAAGCTATCCTGAGACTGCAAAGTGTTCCTTTCAGGGCTGTAGCGTTAAGAGACTTGCCAGTCTCTGCCCCATTAAAACACCCGGTCAAACTCAGTCTGGTTGGTGGTGGCAGGGTTCCTGCTCTGATTGGCAGGCTGCTGGGGCATGTGGCCCCTTCTCCTGGGCGGGGCAAGGTACTCAAACATGGACTGGTTGTGCGTGGAGAGCATGTTCTTGAGGTCGGAGGGCATAGGGTCGGACCAGAAGAAATCGTGGTTGAGGGCGTCGTCGCTGTCGATCCGCTGGGCCGGATCAAGGACCAAGAGCTTGTCGATCAAGTCCAGAGCATAGGGGTCCTTCACATAGGCCTTCAGCCGGTCTTTCACTTTCCTCTTCTGTCCCTTGGGCAGCTCCAGCTTCTGGTAAAGCTCATACTTCTTGTCAACAGCAGGCCACACCTACGAGGATGAAAAAAAAAGTTTCCGATCATCCATCCATCCTATTACTAACCACTTTATCCAATACTGGGTCTGGATGGACGCCAGTCCATACAGAACTCACACCATGGGGACTAGACTCCACCACCACCAGTGTGCAGCCCCACCTGGATGATGTGACAGCAGCTATAGTGAGCCAGTACGCTTCCCCACTCACCAGCTCTCAGTAGGGAGGAGAGCAGAGTGATGACGCCAGTTCACGGATGGGGATTATTAGGAGGCCATGGTTGGTAAAGGCCAATGGGAAATTTGGTCAGGTCAGCAGTGTTAACAAACCCACTCTTTTTGAGAAACGTCCTGGGATCTTTAATGACCAAGGAGAGTCAAGACCTCAGTTTTACGATTCATCCGAACGACATTGGGCTTTTTTTTTACAGTACAGTATCCCCATCACTATACTGGGACATTAGGACCCATACAGACCACAGGGTGAGCACCCCCTACTGGCCCCACTAACACCTCTGAGCTTTCCCAGGAGGTCTCCCATCCAAGTACTGACCAGGCTCACTGCTGAGCTCCAGTGGGCTGCCAGCTGGGATTGGCAGGGTGATATTGCTGCTGGCATGTCTTTGGACTGCGAGAGGAAACCCACACAAACATGGGGAAAAATATGTTTCCGTCAACAGCAAAAGAAAATGCTAAACCCCACCGAGAACAAGACTATTCCTGGAGATCTCACCTCAGCTGTAATAGAGCCACAGAGCTGGCTGATGAGGGTGAGCTGGTGCTGCTCTGTGTTGCCCTGCATGATAGGGCTACGTGTCCACATCTCTGCCATGATGCAGCCTGCACCCCACAGGTCAATAGGGGGGCCATAGTCTCTTTCCCCTGTTGAGAAGAAAACAATCCTTCAACTGAGGTTCATGGCTGAACATGCCAACTGAGTGAAACTCAGGTTCTGCGCAAAGACAAGTTCAATTCAAAAGACCCCTGTCTGTAAGATTCTGGGAGAATCAAAAGAAATTTAATACAGTGCCAAATTTGGAAGAGGCGCTTAAATTTAATAGTCAGATAAATGAAAAGAGTGGATTTGGAATTGGTCAATTCCAAAGTGCACGCAGAGCTCACAAGTAAGGGTACGAGTCTGCAAAACCGTTTCAAAGAAATTTTTCCGCGGGATTAAAAGAGATGTACCCAGCAGCCTGGTTGTTTACAGTGTCAAAGGCCACTTCACATCAGGAATTTTGGTGCCTTGTTGTGAATCGCAGAACATGGCGCTGTGCATACCCGGAAATGTCATCAATTTGGTGATGTAGATTGGAGGTTTTACTGGGAACATGTTACTCGTATCGTGGTTTGAAATGCACTCATCAAGGCTGATTCTAAGTCTGAAATATATAAATAGCTTTGTGTTTCCCCTTCAAGACGGGCCACTATATCACCAGAGGAAACGACATGTGGGGCTGCCGTTGCGGCGATCTTAAACACTGACCCAGCAGTAACTCCGGGGGGCGGTACCAAAGCGTCACGACCCGATTGGTGTAGCGATTCCCCTGGCTGTTTTTGGCAAGGCTAAAGGCACGTGCCAGACCGAAATCGGCCAGCTTCAGGACGCCATCCCTCGTGATGAGCACGTTGGCCGCCTTCATGTCGCGGTGCAGAATCTAAAAAAAGCAGAAGGGTGGGAGGAAAAGAAGAAGCAAGAAGCAAAACTCGGGTTTTATGTACACGATCCATAATGTATACAAAACGTATTTATACCAATATCTGAGGAGCTGAGAAGATTCCTGGAAGGGGATATTTCACCTGCCCTTCACTTGCATATTTGGTGACAACTGACTGTGTTAATACTCACAGTAGCACATACTCTGGGCATTCTGTCTTACAACTGAATCAGTGTATCACTATCAGTCCTAGTCATCTCTCAGCATGCGTTTCACTCTCCTATCAAGTGGAATTGAGGTTGGAGAGCTAGCAAGAACAGCAAACCAGCTTCAAGTTTTATTGTCCTTAAGTAATCTTGTGTCGCTACAAATTCCCCGATAATACAGGGTGAAACGGTTTACAAACAAGATCTGGGATTCTTAGAAAGTTTCATATTCCACCACAACTGTCTAAAGGCAATCACAGCACTAAGAAAGCTAAAACATTGAAAACAACAGAAACAAACACATAAACCCTTTAGCATGCAAGGTTTTGAATTCTGAACGCAAAGTGTCTGATGCATAACCAAGAGGGAAACAATTCAATATTTTGTAAGTGTTAATGTAAAAACAAAACATTTCACAGAAGTCCATAACTATTTAATAAAGGTTTAGAAAGGAAATGATTTAAAAACAAAACAAAAAACAGTTCTTACCTTATTTCGGTGAATGTAATATAAACCATTTAGCAACATCTGCATGACTTTTTTGATTTCGGCCAAAGTAAACTTGACGTTGGCATTACTGAGTAACCCAGCCAAGTCATGTTCACAGAAGTCAAACACCAGGTAGATGCTGCCTTTGTATCGATTGTACTGGGTGGCTGGAATT